AACATACCACCGCCTGACATAGCCTGAGAGACTATGCTATGACGGTTTTACCTGTTGGGTCATTGTTTGTGCATACCACTTGGCCCAACATAGCCCAAACTTGGGCCCAACTGGCCCCTAATTGAGTTAGCCCAATTCTAACCCAATTTCACCTAAAACCTACTTCGATCTAGACAATTGTTACAAATCTAATCAATTGTTGCCCTGTATGTCATTGGTTCATCGGTACTTCGTCCGAATCTTTGGCGCACCATCCTCTCTTACGGCCTATTACCCAATCAACCAGTTGACCTCCACAACTCTGATTTCCTTAGTGCAATTTCTGCTCTTCTTGGCCCGATGCCCGATCCCATGGCCCGAAGCCTTTTACCGATACATCGATCGATCCTTTAGCTCGACGTCCATTCTTCTGATATGTTTCATTTCGGCCCAACATGATTCTTCCTGCTTTTAATTGTCTCTCTCCCTGATCGAAGCTTTCTACGTCACTCAAAACGCAGATCAAATCATAAACACTATCAATTTGTTTCATCATCAAAATCCGAGATTCAACATCGCTTGCGCTCGGGCACTGCACCAAAGCACAAGGGGAGAATTATAGCGTTGAGTCTTACATATATATTGAGTTTCAACTAGCATACCAATAAATGCATAAATAATATGTATATGTTACCTTCTTATTATAATATAATTTATGATGCATGTTTTGTTTTCAAAATATATTATTTTTTATGTTCTACCAAAAATTGATTAAGCATGCATAAACATTTACATTTATATTAAGTATAGTGCTAAAGTCAAATTGTGCTAATAAACTTTAATACGTGATTAAATTATCTTAATATTTAAAAATGGAATAAAAATAGTTATGTTCGAGGATCAATATTTGAGATGAAAAATATCATAAGTTTTATATGTTTTAAAAATTCAATTATATGTAATATTATGATTGATGTCATGAAGATATATTAATCTTGAGTATTTTTCAAATTAGATATCTGAATTATTTTAAAGGATTAAAATCTGCAAAGAAGGTGATTTTTATGTTTCTGAGGACCTATGTGTAAATGTAAGTCTTACAGGGACAAAACTGCAAAGGTGTTGAAAAAAATGAAATAAAACAGAGGGCGATTTTTATCCCACCGCCACCCACACCTCTGCTTCCCACACGAGGAAAACTGAGGGGCAATGTGTCGGTGGAGGAGAAGGCGAGGAGAGGAAGAAGAGAAAGAAGAGAAGGAGAAGAAGACGAGAAGGGTAGAAAGAGGGAAGGAGAGGAAGAAGAGAAGAAGACAAGGGGAAGAAGGAGAGAAGAGAAGGAAGAGAAGGGGACTGCGTCGGTGGAGGAGAAAGGAAGGGTAGGAATAAGAGAAGAAGAGAAGGGGAAGAAGGAAGAGGACGGGGCTGCGCTCTTTTACCTTCTGCACGAGGAGGTGCGTCGGTGGAGGAGTAGGGAACGAGAGGAAGAAGAGAAGAAGAGAAGGGGAAGAAGGAAAGGAAGAGAGGAAGCTGCGGCTGCGGCTGCGGCTGTGGCTGTGGGGGAGAAGAGAAGGAAGGGAGAAGAAGTAGAGGAAGAAGAGAAGAGGAAGAAGGGAAGGAAGAGATGAGGCTGCGGCTGCGGTTGTAGGGGTGAAGAGAAGGGAGAAGAAGAGAAGGGAAGGAAGAGACGAGGTTGCGGCTGCAGCTGTGGGGGAGAAGAAGAAGAAGAAGAAGAGACGAGGAAACAGAAAAGAGAAAAGAAAAGAAGAAAGAAAAAGAATAAAAGAAGGAGAAAGGGAAAGAAAAGAAAATAATTTTTGTTTGAATCATAATCTAGTATAATTCTGAAAGTTTTGATAATTGATAATCCTCAAATCATCTAAAAATAAAAAAATTAATTTTAAAATAGGTTAGATGGTCAAATTTAACTTAGTTTAATTTTAAATATAATTAGGTCAACACAAGAAAGGAAATGTAAGATTTTATAATTAGGTTTATGATGAATTTAGGATAATTTTATATAAATATTAATATATGTTATGCATGTGTGTCACTGAGTATAACAATTTTTTTTTATAATTTTAGAATAATTTTGTATAAAAATTAATATGTTTTTTTAGGATCATTTGGGTTTTTTAATTTTTATGATGAATTTAGGATAATTTTATATAGAGATTAATATAATTTTTAATATATTATGTGAATGAGTGTCGGTTTAGTGTAATAACTTCTCTAGGTAATTTAGGATAATTTTATATAAAAATTATATTTTTTATGATAACTCGAGATTTTTAGCTTATGAGAAATTTAAGATATTTTATCTAGAAACTAATATAATTTTTAATATAATCTGTGAATGAGTGTAATACAAGTGTAATAATTTTTTTAGTTAAATTATGAGGAGGTGAAGGAGGAGAAGGAAGTGGAGATAGAGAGTAGTGGTGGAGTTAAAGAAGGTAAAAAAGGAGTATGAAAAGAAGAGAGAGGAGGAGGAAGAGGCGAGAGGAGAGAGATGCAAGGAGGAGGAGGCTAAAGGAGACGGTAAAAGTGGAAGGGGAGACGAGGAGTAGGAGACGGTGAAAATGGAGGGAGAGACGAGGAATAGGAGAGAGATAGGGGGAAAGGAGGAGGAGACGGAGTAGAAGGTGAAGAGAGAGGAGGAGAAGGATGCGAAGTGAAATTGGAGGGTAATGTGGAAGAAATCAAAGAGCAATATAGTGATCAATTGAACCAAATTGGATAGCTAGGGTTTAGTTGAATCGATGTGGTGCAATTCATCTTTGAAAAATAATTTAAAAAATCAAATCAAACCTAATCAAAGGATAATTATCAATTTTATATCATTCTATTAAAGATATTTTAGTCAAAGTTCAATAAAAACCTTTGGTAAAAGTCAAATTTGGGGCATCATCTCTGATAAAGGCTCGTTACTAGGGATTTTTTTCATAAATTGCCCTAGTTTCGTCATCATCTTTTATTCATGGTTTTATTTAGTCAACTTTTCAACCATTAATACTAAAAGGAAACAACAACAACCTCATTGGCAAATTGATATTTTAGAGTACTTCAAATTTTATTTTATTTTATAGAGAGTAAGGTAGAAAAATCAGTTTAATCATGATCAAGAAAGTTGGTAAGCTTGGTCTTTTTCTCCACCATTTAGTAGCATATTATTAGGTTCGAGGTCAAAATAATCAGGTTAAAATTATCTTAACCCAGCTACTTAAATCTTTAATCTTCTGTTTGTTTAGCAAATTAATTGAATTGTTCGGGTGATAGATAGAAAAAAAAGAGGGAGAGATTTAGCCTAGCAGAGTAGGTTATTTTAACCCGATTTAACTCTTTCGACAAGGTATTCCAACACAACTATATAGCAGTTTGATCCTCCTCAATTACACACATCTTGATTTATTGACAACGAAAAGATCGATCATTTTCTTCCAATAAGATTAATGTCACCGTTATTGTGAATAATTAGGTTTATTAGCAACCATAACTTGTAATTAAAAAAAAAAACTTTGTGAGTGCAGGCCCATGGATCAAGTTCAGTGTCTGGATAGTGCTTCTCACAGTGGCTAAAATGTGGCGGTGAGGAAGATGAATTTGCCACGGGGGGTGGCGGGGTGGGTGGGTTAATTTATTATAGTAGTATATGATATCTTATTATAGTATAGGTTAAGTCAAGGCAACTTTAAACTGAACTAGGATATTAGAATAGATGTTGCATTTGCCCAATAGCTCACTATGAATTATATAATCTAATGACAAGCTTACCTTTTGGTGTTGTGATTAGACGAGATGAGTCAACATTAGTTGTGTAAAAAAATGAAGAAAAATACCAAAAAAGACTTTGCAAGAAAAACTAAAAAGATTTGAAATTTCATTTGATTAGAGATACAAAGTTCCATAACAGAAATATTTAAATGTAGTTGATCCTAAATAATTGAGGCATTACCCTTATTCTTATTAAAAGTTGCAAACTTTACCTATTGGTATATGGTTATATAGCCAAGAAAATTTGACGAACAACTTAGTTACACAAAAGCATTTACATAAACGTCACTAGAAAAAGGTCTCCAAGTATCAACCTAGCAATTCCACCAAAACTCCAAACTATTGCCAAAATATGCTATTTGAGGACTTCTTCAAAAGATGATAATGTAAAATTACTAAATCAAAATCCTATTGTTCAATCAAATCGAACTTTCATCTTTGCCTGAAGCATAATGGTTAGACTTTGATCAAAATACTAACTGAAGTTCAATAAATTAAATGACAAACTAAAAGTAAGGGTATAATTGAACAAAGAGGAAGCATTAATCCATAAAATAAATACTGAAACCATATCATTACACATTTTCGTCAACTTCAGATGTTGCACCAGTGGTCTATTGCGGGCAACAGAAATTCCCACCGCATAGGACATGACACATACATATAACAAAGATCATTTATTCTCTAAAAAAAGCCGATACAAGTTTCTCCTAGAAAGTCTTGATGTTGATAAAAAAAGGCCTGATCATGTAGAACACATAGAAGATAAACATTTCCACTAAAATTAGTTACAGGGAAGAAATTTACTTCTCTGGATGCTCATTCATGATGTCAATTTTTTTTTACTTTCTCCACATTTTTTGTTTCGTATTTTGCATCTGGAAATCCCTTTAGGATCTGCTGACGATATATTTAAAATTTTGAAATTATTTTTGGAAAACGTTCCATATGAAAACAAAAAATTGATTGATAATGTTCTGTATAATACCTGATATAAATGCCAAGACACAAATGCATCTGTGGCTGCATACTGCAGTTGCTCCTTTGACAGCACATCAGCTTCCCAGTTTCCCATTCTTATCTTTTTAGGCTTCTCCAGCTATAAAAGAAACAATCATTTCAGTACGTGGAACAACTTTTATAAAAGCACATAAACATGCTAACACAAAAAAATCTCAGCAAACTATCAAAAGATCCGACAAAATAAACATGTGCAAGCAATTTGTAGTAGTATTTTATAGTCAATAAACTGTCTTTACATGCATCATATTCCACCTTTCCTAATAAGTGATGTGCTAGAGAAAAGTGCACTTCATAAAGTAGCTAATAACAATAGTTCTAACATATGGATTTACTGCATGGCCATAACAAATTTTTGAGACTTCAATATATTGAAGAAAGTACTATGCTCAATGTATAGATAACAGAATCAGTTATATCTGGCAGATAAACAAAATAAATACTTTGTTTAAAAGAAAATTCTTGATCTGACAAGGGAATAAGTTTTGTCATTTACACAGAACGCTGGTTTTATCCCATGTTATGGCCTTATGTACTGCTTGCACCAAATCTTACAGTATAGTAGTCAAATGGGGGGGGACCAAAACTCAGAGTGTAGCGTCTTGGTAGGTTTTTGTTAATAATCAAAATCAATTTCAACCATCAACCCTTTTCTAAGTATTGAACCACACGTCTCACTGTGTCAGCACAACCCTAAAGTAGGCAACAGAAGAGTGATCTTCCATTGGTTCATGACAAAATTCAAGATGCAAACTACACAAAGAACCTCATGAACATTGTTCGTAGAGGAGACCAAGCCACAGTATTTTGTACAGATTATGACCGATAATGGTGCAAATTTTAAGAAGGTCAGGTTACGATTAATGGAATAAAGAGGAAGCCTATTTTGGACTCCATGTGCAACTCATTGCATGAACCTAATGATGAAATATATTAATGAGTTAACAATGGTAAGGAAGTGTGGCGAGGGCACAAGCAATATTGAATGAAGTTTCGAACCATCAACATTTGGCAAGAGATTCTGGTATACCACGAGACCAATGTTTTAAGTTGTAAAAAATTAGATATCATCTCTTTTTTTAATGTAAAAGGTAAGTAGCGAAAGTGGGATTTGAGCCTAAGATCTTACATAAAGAAGGGCATAGTATTAGGATCTTAATGGCACTAAGACGGGGGGGAGGGGGTTGATCAAGTTAAAGTTACAAGGGAATAAAACTAAATCACAAGTAAAATGCAAGAGAGAAACCAATTTGTAGTGGTTCAGTCTTCCCAACCCACGTCCACTCCTGATTCCTCTTCCCTCGAGGCTACCGGCTTTCACTATCAATTTTCTTTCCAATGGGCGACGATCAACTACCCTCGTTACAACTTTCTCCTTTTTAAGGCTAAGGAGACAACCTTCATACTCTCTTTTTATATAAGATCTCTCACCTCCAACAACTTAGAATTGTAACCAGACTCAAAAGGAGGAGACTCAAACTATGCTCAAAATGAGAATTTACAACACTTTTATGCTTAGGAATAGATGCTTCATCAACCAAGCCTGAGTGGGGTATTTATAGGCCCCTAAAGACTTCAAGAATGAAGTCAAAAATTCAAATCTTCAAAATTTCGAGGGCACTAGTGGTACTACTACTGGCACTGGGGGGTACTACTACCATAACGGGGTTGTGAATCTTGGCTCTGGCGATACTACCACTAGCCTAAGCGATATTACCGGCACCTTGGGTGGTGCTATCATCGGCATGGACCGTACTACCACTGGAAATGCCGAAATAGCATAAACAGTGCTTTTTGGCTGACTCAAGCGATACTACCGCCTGGGCCTGGCGGTACCACTGCCTGGACCTAGTTTAGGCCATTGATTGGCCTTCTAACAGGCCCAATTCGGCCCTTGTGCAAGCCTAATGGGTTCCTTGACAAGTTGGTATGGTTTTGGCTCAATATCAACTTAAATTGACCCATAATGACATCGATCAAGATTATGATAAATCAACCACGTATATAACACATTAACGAAGCTTTCAACACGTTGTACACTATTCTGGCATGTCTTTCGTTCTTCTAGCACTTCATCCGAACCTTTTAACATATCGTCCTTTCTTTCGACATATCGCCCATTCCACCGGCATGTTGACTTTCTCACGACATCAAATCTTCCGACGCAATATCTGATCTTTTCAGCACGATGTCTAAACCTATAGCATGAAGTTCGATCTCTGACACATCGACCAATCCTTCGGACGACGTCCAATTTTCAATACGATAATTTTTCAACACAACGTCCGATTGACTTGCTCAATAATTAACCCTTTGGTGATCCAAGTCCATGATCAAAATATTTTCTACATCACTTATCTTTAAAATATATTTGGTCTAGTAAACTCGTCAATTAGTTTCATCATCAAAATTTGGGATTCAACAATCTTTTCCTTTTTTATGATTATAATCAATTGATGATAGGGTTTTTATAAGACTCCCTAGTCTATTTATCATTTTAAAATATTATTATAAACTTGAACTCAAATGATCATATATCCTTTTAAATGCAAATACTAAATTCAATTTAAAAAAAAATTGAACTTATCGATATTATGATTCAATCATTCAAGTCCAAAAATCAATATTCAATCAAATTTCAAATTTTAAGTTATCATCATTTGAAGTTTCAATTTTCAACAATTATCAATGTGTAATATCAACATCATGATTCTTCCAATTCATGCATGAGTCACCCCTTCTCCCCCTTGGTTAACAAAAAAAATATGCTTCTCCCTCTTTGTTAATAAAAAAATGAGTTATTACTTCTCCCCCTTTGTCATCAGCAAAAAGAAAAGAGGGATAAAATGATATCATGGTACTACTTCTCCCCCTTTGTATTAATGTTCCAATTGTGTAAAAATAAAAATTACTTTTGTGTCATTATATACGAAGAATCTCAATATTATGTCATCGAAGAAAAGTTCAAGTTATGGAGATCGGGAGGTTAATTAATGACGGGTCTTAATAAGATTCCCCATATCTATATGTCATCTTAAAAATATGATGAACTTGAATTCAAGATAATAATTTTTTAATGATATTTTTGAATTTAAGTTGAGACAAATTCGATTTTGTTGATATTATCATTGTAAGCCCAAATATTCAATCAAGTTTCAAATTTTGAAAAATAATTAACAAAAGTTAAGCATGAGTCACTACTAATAAAAAGTTATTATAAGTTTCCTTGTTCAACACGTAAGCTAGGCATGAATCACTACTTTTCTCGCTTTATCATCAACAAAAAATATGACTTACTTCTCCTTTGTCATCAACAAAATTGAGTATACAAGTCATGAATTCAAAAGAGTCAAAATAAATCTCAAGTCGTGAATACCAAAAACTCATAATTTATTTGGATAAATCTCCTCTTTAGTCATTAGCAAAAGGAAGGAATCGTAAGAGAATAAATAGTAAAAAGTCTTGACTCATACAAAATAAATCTCAAGTCGTGAACACCGAGAAGTCAAGTGAAAGATCATGATTCGTTTGGATAAATCTCCTCTTTAATCATTAACAAAAAGAAAGAATCATAGAAGATCAAATAGTAAAAGGTTTTGGTTCATACAAAAGAAATCTCAAGCTATAAACACCAAGAAGTCAAGCAAAAGATCATGATTCGTTTGGATAAATCTCTTATTTAGTCATTGGTTAAAAGAAATTATCATATGAGAACAAATAGCAAAAGCTCTTTAATCATGCATTTAAAAGATTCTACATGCCTAATTCTCTCCTAATAAAATTGAATTATTCCTCACTCAATGGTTTAGTAAAAATATTTGCTATCATGATCCCTAATAAAATAATGTCTAATGTTAATGTGCTTAGTCCTAGAGTGTTGAATAGGATTCTTTGTCAAACAAATTACTCTAGTATTATCATATTTTATATGGATATTTTTCAGGCAAGATTCATAATCTTCTAAAGTGTTCTTCATCTAAATTACATGCGCACAGTATACACCTGTCGTAACATATTTAGCTTCAGCCGTAGATAGTGCAATAGAGTTTTGCTTCTTGGATGACCAAGAAACAATTCATAACCTAGGAATTAGTAAGTTCCAAAGGTACCTTTTCTATCTATTTTACATCCTACAAAGTCAACATCAGCATAAGCAATCAAATCAAAATTATTAGATTTAGGATACAATAATCCTAGAGATGATGTTCTTTTTAAGTACCTAAAAATTCTTTTTACTTCTTTAAAGTGAGATTGTTTAGGATTAAACTAAAATCTTATACAAAACCTAACACTAAATATTATACCAGGTTTAGTTGCAGTAAAGTATAGTAAACTGTCTATTATAACTCTACACATTTTTTTATCAAAGCATTCTCTTTTATTATCCATATCTAATTTAGTAGAAATACTTATTGGTGTGTTGATAGCCTTAGCATTATCTATGTAAAATCATTTTAATAGATCAAGAGGATACTTGATTTGACTAATAAAAATATTATCTTTTAGCTGCTTAATTTGTAATCATAGGAAAAATATTAATTCACGCATTAAACTCATTTCAAATTCTTAGCTTATATTCTTATAGAATGGTTCACATAAAGATCCATTAGTAGAATCAAAAATAATATCATCAATATAAATTTGAAAAGTGAGAAATTCATTTTTGATAAACAATGTGGTGTTAACCCTTGCATTTTGAAAAATTATTTTGAATAAGAAAAGAGCTACGATTCTCATACTAAGCCCTAAGGGCTTGCTTCAACCCATAGAGAGACTTAGATGATTTATAAATATGATTTAAAAAAAAATCATTTTCAAACCCGAGTGATTACTCAACATAAACTTTTTTGAAAAATAAAACCATTAAGAAAAACACTTTTGAGTTTTGATATTCATTTAAAATAATTTAAAATTTTAAAAACATGTATAGGCAAGGAGTATCCTTATGGCTTCAAGTCTAGCTATAGGAGCAAAGGTTTCTTCATAGTGTATACCTTTTTCTTGGTTGAAACCTTTAGCCACTAATTTAGTCTTATTTCGAACCATATCATGTAGTTCATCTTACTTAATTCCTAAAGA